CCCCCCCAAAAAAACAAAAAAAAACAAAACCCCAAAAAAGGGGCACACAACTCCCAAAAGAAGTCCAGGACCTTGTTAAATCCATTTTGACATTTGTCATATAAGCAATGCGGAGTTTTATTCGAGATTAAGTTGTCTCATAAGGCAAAACGCTGAGCCTTGAGTCTCTGTCACTAACTGTCATACTTCTGTTTCTTGGCTAAGCCAGTTGTCTCAGCCACACCATTAAACTTTTGGTTTAACTAAATTGCAGGAACCACTTGAAGTTGCTGGACTACCCAAAGAAATTTTAAAAGTTTCAGCTGGTTATCATCATTCTTCTGCTATTACAGGTTTATTATGATTGATGATGGATCTTTTATCTTGTATGCTAAAAAACTATAATTGGATTTACTAGTTCTGATCTGCTGCTTTTTTCGTTAATTTGGTTGTAGCAGTTATCTATTTCTGGTTGATGCTTCCCTTTTCATTTTTGTTTGACACTTGATGAATTTTTTCTGTTCTTTTAATTACTTGTCTTCCTTGGTGTTAGATGTTGCTGGGTCTTAGACTTGTAGTCCCCTGCATGGGAGCATCCATCCACTGCTTCTGTATTTTAATTGCTTTTATCAAGGCCAAGTTATTTAACTTGTTGATAGGTTAGAAAGGATTGTTAGTTATAAAAATATGAGTATCCAGCCACAACTAAGGAAATGAGTGGATTAACCGTGGCCATTATAATTTAAGACTCTCTGTAAGTCCTTATACAACTAGTGTGGAACATTGTATATCTCTAACACCTTCCTGAATGTATAACCTGGCTTTAGATTTTATACGTTGACAGAACATTTTTCGTTTATTTTCTTGTTTCTTGATGGGCTTGATTTTTAAGGAGGCTTAACAGAGTGAAGAGTAGGCCTGGAGTATGAGGAAGCTTGGAGCAGAAAGAGTGGACTCAGTAAGTTGAGAGGTGGACCCATGAGTAGAGTTAGTTGCTAAATGAATTGAATTGAGAAAGAAGCGCAATGCAGCTGAAAATAGGTGGACCCATGAGTAGAGTTAGTTGCTAAATGAATTGAATTGAGAAAGAAGCGCAATGCAGCTGAAAATAGGTGGACCCATGAGTAGAGTTAGTTGCTAAATGAATTGAATTGAGAAAGAAGCGCAATGCAGCTGAAAATAGGTAGATACAATAGCAACTGCACGACAAGCATAACGAAACTGTTTGCCGAGAAGCTGTGCTCACCAAAATTTAGATATGATAATGTGGGAAAAAATTTGAGCATCCAATTGAAACATTATGACAAAGGGTAGAGTATCCCAGTACATAATATATCCCTTGGGAGATCAGAGATCTTGATCCAAGTGATGTAGGTGTGGCTCTGGCATATTAAGAAGAGGTAAAAAAAGGAGATGATATGGCATTGAAGTTGTTACGAGAGGATTTTTTTTTCTAAATAGAACTCACACACTCCTTCATATTAGAGAAAGTCTGTGAAGAATCACATGCTCTACTTTAGCGTGAAGCCAAATGCATCAATTTTGTTCCAAACGTGACTGAAGGTCCTTTCTGTCTCTTAAAACCTTTTTATTTTATTGGATCTTGTATAATTAATCTATTGCTAATATTGAACGCCTTTATGCGAAACGGCGAAGACATGACTTGAGGTCCTTTCTGTTTCTTAAAACCTTTTTATTTTATTGGATGTTGTATAATTAATCTATTGCTAATTTTGAACACCTTTATGCGAAGCGGCGATGAGTAAATAGGATAAAGCCTCAATTGATCTCTGTTTCTTCATACAGGTCCTTGCTAGCGAGTTGTTTCTGCATCAGCATCAAAGATCGAATAAGGCTTTAACATTTTGGATATTTTTTGCCTCCCTAGTAAAAGAGAAAAAAACAATATCTCTTGAGACTGTCTACTCATTAATTGAACAGTTGTACCTATCTTTGAATGCTAGCTTATTACATGCTTTCAGCTGCAAATTCATATAATAAATAATGTTTTAAACTGAAAAGTCGAGGAATATTGAAAGGGAAACCTGGCAGTTAGTATTTGACTTCCTTTGTATTTTATCCAAAAAAAAGTGAAAGAAATATTTCATAACCTGTTCAAACGCCGCCAGAGACTGGTAGGAAGAAACAGTCCTAGATCGAATAGCAATACCTTGACTTGTATGAGTGTGGCATATAGTAGGTAAACATAACTTAGTTGTTGCAAAGTATCAGCATTGCTAGTATGCATAGAGTCCTCGCGTATGGCAGACTCCACATCTAGGTACAAACTAGAAACAGAATTGCACGAGGACCATTAATGTACCCATGATATACAACAACAACAACATATCCCACAAGTGGAGTCTGGGGAGGGTAGTGTGTACGTAGACCTTGCTCTATCTTGTATCCTGATAGACTCTCGGCTCAAGGCAAGCAAAATCATAACATTAAAGAAAAAGAAATATATAGTATTGAAGAAGTTGTGGAAAAGAAAGTATCAACAATAAGATAATAACATAATCGAAGCAGAAACATCAGGTGGTAATAGAAGTCTAAGAATAAGAAAATACTAGAATAATACTAAACTACTGGTATGAAAAGGAAAAACGCTCGACTTCCCACTAATCTTCCATCCTAATCCTCAACCTCCACACCCTCCTATCAAGAGTCATGTCCTCGGTAAGTTGAAGATGTGTCATGTCCTACCTAATCACCTCTTCCTAATATTTCTTCGGCCTTCCTCTACCTCTCCTTAGACCCACCATTGTCAGCCTCTCATGCCTCTCACTGGGGCGTTTGTGCATCTCCTCTTCACATGCCCAAACTATCACAACCTCACTTCCCTCATCTTGTCCATTATGGAGGCCACCCCCGCCTTGTCCCAAATATCTTCACCCTATCTCTCATAGTATGCCTGCACATTCATCTTACCATCCTCATTTTTGCTACTTTCATCTTCTGGAGATGAGAATTCTAAACTGGCCAACACTCCTCCCACATGCGACATAGCCGGTCTAACCATCACTCTGTAAAATTTACCTTTAAGTCTTTGTGGCACATTCTTATCACACAATACACCGGATGCAAACCTCCATCTCATCCACCCCGCTCCAATACGATGTGTGTTATCATCGTCAATCTCCCAATTAACTTGGATTACTGACCCACAGTACTTGAAACTTCCTCTCTTGGGATGCCTTGTGTATCAAGCCTCACTTTCACTTCCTCAGCTTCACGAGTTATATCACTGAACTTGCACTTCAAGTATTCTGTTTTAATCCCTCTCAAGTTGAAACCTTTAAACTCCAGGGTCTGTCTCCAAACCTCCATCCCGACATTAACTCCGCCTGGTGTCTCGTCAATCAACATTATGTCATCAACAAATAACATACACCATGGCACCTCCATTTGAATGTGTCGTGTCAATTCATCCATTGCCAAGGCAAATAAGAACGGGTTAAGAGCTGATTCCTAGTGCAGCCCCATCACGACTAGGAAGTGTCTCGAGTCTCATCCCACTGTCCTCCATAATACATGTCCTTAATCGTCCTAGTGTATGCTACAGGAGCACTTCTAGCTTCCAAACACCTCCATACAACCTCCTTTGGGACCTTGTCGTAAGCTTTTTCTAGATCAATGAACACCATATGCAAGTCCCTCTTTCTCTCCCTATACTGCTTTACCAATCTTCTTACAAGGTGAATTTTGTAGTCGATTGCCCCGACATGAATCTGAGCTATTTCTTGGAAATAGACACACTCATCCTCCTCTTCTCCACCACTATCTTCCAAACTTTCATAGTGTGGCTTAGCAGTTTAATATCTCTATAATTATTGCAATTTTGAATATCACCCTTGTTCTTGTACAACGGTATCATCGTACTCCACCTCTATTCTTCGGGTATTTTTGTCGTCCTTAAAATGACATAAAACAATCTAGTAAACCACTCCAAGCCTGCCCTGCCCGTACTCTTCCAAAATTTTACTCGGATCTCATCTGGTCCGGTCGCGACCCTTGCTCATCTTACATAATAGCCCCCCTCAACCTCCTCAGCTTTATAGGCCTCCAATACCCTTTTGCTCTCCAATAACTTCAAATATTCCGCTTTCTTAGCTTTCACTTTCCATTGGACCTCTCCATTCCACCACCAGTCCCTTCTGTGTCGGAGTAACATTTTGAGACCTCTAACACTTCTCTAGCTGTCCCTTCTGTGTCCGAGTAACATTTTGAGACCTCTAACACTTCTCTAGCTGCTTCCCTAATGCAATTCGTGGTCCCGGTTCACATGCTACTCGCGTCCCCACTACCCCTCCTGGCCCCCATTACCATCAGCTTCTCCCCCAACTTCAAAGATTTGTCCTAAGTCAAGGTTCCCCACTTAATCTTTGGTTGACCATACACAACTCTATTTTCCTCTTCTTAATCTCCAAGTCCATTACCAGGAGCCTATGTTGGGTCATGAGATTCTCACTCGGGATAACCTTACAATCCGTGCATAAACCTTTGTCACCCTTCCTTAAGAGTAGGTAATTAATTCGGGAGTGTACCCGTGATATCTGGGCTCCTATTTGGCAGGATGTTATAATTAAAAAATAAGAAAAAGAGGATAGCTGGCATCAAAACCTAACAACTCTATACAAAAAACATAAAGCAAAACCAAAAAAATGGTTTGTGCTTATGTCTATCTATGTATATATATATATATACAGAAATATGTTAGCATTATGAACCAAAAAAAAAAAGAACATAAAGGAAAAATAGAGAACCTGTTGTGTTTGAAATTTGAATTAAGGTAATTCTCTTTTCACCAAGAAGAAATGTGGAAGCTTACGTAGACAGATGAGATATCTATGTATAGTTTAGAAATGTAGAATGGAAACTTGGTGTGCTGGCTAATTACATTTGTTTTGAAAGTATAGACCAATGAGGCCAGTGTTGAAGATATTATTAAGTAAATAAAAGTATGCTCATTCAAATAGCTTAAACTTTTAGATGAGATAGTTACACACTTTAACGTGGTATCAGAGCAGGCAGAGGTCTTGCGTTCGAGTCTCACTCCACCCAATATCAAAAAGAATTTTTACGTGCTTGGCTCGTAAAAAAGAATCAAGGCCGCATGTGAGGGGGGAGGGGAGGGGATGTGTTGAAGACATAATTAAGTAAATAAAAGTGTGCTCTCTCTAAGAGCTCAAGCTTTTAAATGAGAGGGTTACATACTTCAACAGTTAGCACTAATCAGCCTTTTTATATATTTTCGATGGTTTTTCTTTTTCATTCTAGATCATTTAACAGTTTAAGTTTCTTAGCATTCATACTTCTTTCATGAATTATAGCCTCCCTTCATTTCCCTTTTCCCTTAATTCCTAAATTAGGTGGTTTATTTACATTTAAAATATTTTAGCTTCCTAAAATAGTCTGCGGTTTTATTGCAGTGGACGGAGAGCTTTATATGTGGGGGAAGAACACAAATGGTCAGCTTGGCCTCGGAAAGAGTAATAATACCTATGCTCTTGTATTATATTCTTTGTGGCTTTTTCTTTAACCATTTTCATTGCTACTAAATAACAAAGGGATTTTTTGTGGCTTCTTCTTTAACCATTTTCATTGCTACTAAATAACAAAGGAATTTTTACACAAATAGCCGGCTAAATTCAATGTTTACTTTTTCTAGCCGAATACGTAAATTATACACTAGTTATACACGTATTATATATGGAATATACATATATTATCCATTGGCTATTTTTAGTTTATGCGATTGGGTGGGCAGCTAATTGGGTTAATTCTTCAATAACAAATGCAAGATTCATGTCCTTTATATGCTGAATACTAATATGGCGCTACTTGCTCGTTTCTTCTTTTTCTTCTTTCATTTTTTGCCTTGGGTTTGGCAGGGAGGGAACAAGGGATGCATATCTTCCATTGCGGTCAGTACTCACTCCATTGCGGCCCGCACTCAGTCTACTGTGGCCACAATGGGCCTCTTTTGCCGAACTTGCCTTTTTAACTCCATTCTTGACCTTTTCACCTTCTCTAGCTGCTTCACTTCCTAAAATCAGACAAATTTCATTAGAACATGGTATGAAACGGTTACTTTTGGACTCAAAACAAGAGTAAAAGACAGTGATAAGTGGCTAAATTCTCCACTTATTAGTGTACAAGAGGGAAAGGGGACTTCTTAAATTCATCCAGCCTGGTTGCTTAGTTTCTATTTGGGAAAACATATCCTAGGACTGCAGCCACTATCTTGTCGTCTTCTTAGTTTTGTCACTACTTTTTTTATGAGTATGGTGTGAATTTTGTGGAAGAAACTTTGAGTTTTTTTGATAACATTGAACATTAGACTTTCCAAGTTGAACATTGAAACGCGGCTAATTCTGTACCTNATCATTTAATTTTGTATAATCATCTGCAGAAGCTGCTACAATACTTTCTACACCCAGTAAAGTTAAATTCTTGACTGGAGTCACGGTCAAAATCATTTCTTTAGGCTTTGAACACTCAATTGCTGTAACAGGTATGGGATCTATTTCGTTAAATTCTTCTTTACATAATAAAAATCCAAACTCAAATACATTATTCCACTATTAATGCCTGTTAAGGAAAAACGAGATATGTTTTGCTTGCATCCTGAGTGACCATTGTCTTCGTGTCATCACTATGTTATCTTTTTCCTGGCCAGATAAAGGTGAGACCTTGAGTTGGGGTGGGGGAGGATCTGGAAGACTTGGTCATGGACATCAGTCAGGCATTTTGGGACTCTTCAAAAGTGACAGGTTAGTTGGATGGTTAATAATCCCCTGCATTTTGCTTGAATTGAATTTTTCTTTCCGGTGTTGTGAATTAGTACCAACATTTTTTTTACTCTTGTTTGATGATTTTCTCTTGTCCAAAATAGATTACATATTGAGTTATTTAATGAGTACGTGTCTCATATTCTTGGATGTCACAGGATGCTATCATTGACAGCAAACTCTTCTACTTTATTATGTAATTTGCGTCTATTTAAGTGTTTCTAGTGAATAAGCAATTGGCTATTGTTGGTAATACCTAGGGTACAGGTATAACTGTAATTTCTTCTTTCCTTTAAACAACTGATCTGTTCTTGTCGTTGAAAACAGTGAATACACACCACGACTTGTTAAGGAACTTGAGGGATTTAAGGTACTGTTCTCCGTGATGCCTTCAATTTTCAATTATATACTTTCATCTTCAGGAAATTAAAAGTTTTTAATGCATGCTTCATAGCTGCTGGCTCATTTTGACGACTCTGGTTATGTGTAAATAGATTAAGAATGCTGCTGCTGGAATGTTGCATTCTGTCTGCATTAGCGGTAACTCATTATAATTTGCAGAAAGTACTTCGATGTTGAAGAAAGGCCTCCGTTTTATGTTTTAACCTTTTCTATGTGCCACAGAGAATGGATCTGTATATGTTTTTGGTGAAAGAGCAAAAAAGAAATTGGTAAACATCTATACATTAGTATTGCAAGTTTTAGCTCATAATTACAAATATGCTATTAGTTGGTATCGTCATGTCACTTTTTATTTAATTTGTATAATGTTAGCTTTTATTTAAAAACTTAGGGCTATGGTGAAGCATCCAATAATTCGGTACCATCTATGGTCGATGAAATTCCATATTCTGAAAAGGCTGCATGTGGAGGCTATCATACCTGTATTATTACAGGTAAATTATCTGGTTCAATATTCTTCACTTGATCTCTGTCTTTGAGAAGCAACAAAGTGAGTATTTGACTCCTAAAAATCTGAGGATATGGCCTATATTTGATGAAAATATGTTGGTGTAGGATCAAGTGTCATATTTAAACTAAGTCGACATAAATGATAGGTTTATCTAGTCTTACACACTATTCTTGTGCAAGCATTTCCACTTTTTGTGGCCAACCTTTTATGTCGATATCAGAACGTGCATCTATTTTGGGTAAAAAAGAAAAGAAATCTATGTTGTTCCTCTACAAGTTCAATGTTCGATAATTAATTATTATTTTAAATCCAGCAACGGTGCATGAAAGGGCAACTTCAGTAGGTTGTTTGCATCTGTTTGGATGAACAAGGTAGTTATTAAACCTTGGAGATAGTAATCTCCATATCTTAACTATGAATTTTTAAGCAGTTTAGAGCAATTATTTCGTTAAGTAACATTAAACACGAGCAACTATTGACCTTGTAAAAGAAATATGAGCAATTATTTAGCACAATCCAGAGCTATTGCAACTGTGTGTTTTCTGCATGTCTGAGTAAAGGGAAGAAGGTGATCGAGTACTGCTTTTAAATTTGAATGTGAAGGTGATCTAACTTTGCTCGGACTAGGGTGTGGGTGTCCGATACGTGTGCGGATCCTTCACGATCTAAATTTTAAGATTTGGTGGTACGGATCCAAGTACAGATATGGGTGCGGTGATTCGGCTAAAAATAATTCAATTAGAGTATCAAAAATATGTTCAAGTTATGAGACATTATGTGAAAAACTTACAAGGTATTCCAAGAAAGACATAGAAATTTCTATATTCAAGGTATCCCTTTTTTTCAGTTTCACATTAGCTTTTGTTTTGATTTCAGAAATCGTTGTATTTATCCTGAATTTTTCTGTCGATTTTGGTCAAAGTATCCAAAATCGGTTGACTAAATCCGGTACGGATCCCACACCCACGTCGTGTCGACACGGGTGCGGCACCAAAAGTGAAGAGTCCGCGCAACTTAGAAGGTGGTTGAACTCTGTTGGGTTGTCTTAGAAGGTTTCCAGAATGTAGGAAAAAATAGGTTTCTAAAGAGAGAATCTGGAATTTTATGTTCATGATACGTGCCTAGTTGTAGGTAAAGCACAATTACAATCCGAGAACTTCTTCATCCTAATAAAACATATATAAGTTTGGGCTTTCAAAATTTTCCGTCATGTTACCTTGGTCTCTCTGATTTCCTACTATTTTCTTGTAGATTAGAACATCCAGAAAATCATATTTAAAACTAGTAACTAAGTGATTCCATATGGAGGAAGCTTCTCTCTCTCCTTGAGGTCTCCTATAGGATAGTAGTATGTTACACCGCCTGCCTAAAGTGTGCCTGTACGGCACAAGCGGCTGTGTTGTGCAATGATGTCATTTGGTTTAACCGAGAAATAGAAGCAATGGAATAGCTTCCAATGTGAATAGCAGTAGGGAACAATTAGATGGTACGGTAAATGGTAAAGCCTAAACTTGAGCATTTCAAAAGTATGTTCTTCCTTTTCAAGGACTTCAACCTTAATTTACTTGNCAACTCCATGGAGCTAATCCTTGTGTATTTTTTATAACGGTGTTGTAGGAGCCAGATCGCGTGTACCTTGTATATTCCATCGGGTACCTGCTACCTCTTACCAACACAGGTACCAGGTAACTATACCCAGTACCCACCAAGTTTTAGGTAGGGGTAGGGCTAATCCTTGTATCTTCCTTTGCTTCTACGAGAAAATGAACTCTGGCCAACCAGAACGGTATATTAAATTCCTTTTGCCTTGTTATATACTCTATCCTCCACCATGTAAGGATGGTCGTTTGTATAGGGGGATCTCAGATCTTTGTAACTCACGAGCACAGTCTTAGTGCTTGGCTGTTGACATTTAAATTATCAATACTAACCAGTTTCAAAGACCAAAAAAAAAATGTAAGGATAAACAACAACAAACCCAGTAAAATCCCACAAGTGAGGTCTGGGGAGGGTAATGTGTACGCAGACTATACCCCCACTTTGTATAGGTAGAGAGACTGTTGCCGATATACCCTCGGCTCAGGAAAAGCATAGTCACAATATTGTTGAAAAGAAATGCAGTAATTGAGAAGCCATGGAAAAGAAGCAATACAAGATGCAACAACATGAGGAGACAATTGAATGCTCTATCTTCTTCCTTAGGAAGGTGTACGAGCGAGGGAAGAAAGGGCAGAAAGTTGGACTCAAATTATGATGATCCAAAGGGACTCAAATATAGCTTTTGTTTTTATCTTTTTTTTAGTTTGAATTTCTTGATCTTATATTGAATTTTAAGATTTTTCATGTTTCAAATGAGAGAATGTTCTCCTTTTTGTTAAGTATTCCACATCTGCTGCAGAAGGAGTTGTTGTTTCCTTATATGGTATTTGGAAATTCTCGTCTCGTCAGCTAGATTTTAGAGTTGAGTTATACCCAGGATCATTCTTCTTAACATGGTATCAGAGCTAGACCTATTGTTATTAAACGCCATCAAAGTGAAGGGTTATCGTTGCATGGCTGAAGCCATACACTTAAATGAAGTGTGCACTTCAAAACGGCGACACATAGAGTGATTTCAACAAGATCACTTCTTTGAATCTCAATCTTAAGGAGTTGGATCTATATTAGTGATATTGTATATTGGATGCTGAAATTAGTTATTTCAGTACAATTTAACTTTTGTAGTAATAAATTCATGTTATGAATAGTTTTTAATTTCTCGTAAGTTCACGCTTCACTTTTTGTTTCAAAGTTCAAACCCATGGATGTTGTTGCTTTTCTACGCTATTCGCCCATCTTTATTCTTGGTTCCAATGTTGGATCCTCATGTTATATTGTCCAAACACCAGATGTTTTAGTCCTGTCCATGCAGGGGGTGTTAAATATCCCATGTTGGTTGAGGGAATAGGTTGTTGTTTCCTTATATGTACCGGGGAAACCTTGCCTCATGAGCTAATTTTGTTACCAATTTTCTCAGTGTTTGCCATGAAATGACGTGATTTAAATAATGTTGTTTCATGAGATCAAGTGCATTACCTGGAATTAAAGGCTAGTTTCTTGGTAAGCTTTAACTTTTGTATTTACTCAGTTTTTGTTCATAGGTGGTGGAGAACTGTACGTGTGGGGCACTAATGAAAATGGATGTCTTGGTATTGGGTACTCTTTTATTGCATTCCTTGGTAGTTGAATTTGTTGGATGGTCAAGTTACCCTTATGATTTCTCATTTTCAATTTTTTATATTGTGATGTACTTTTCGTTTTTGCTTATGTCAGTTCTACAGATGTTGCTCATTCACCTGAAAGAGTTGAAGGACCATTTCTGAGGCATTCAGTTTCCGAGGTTTGGTTTTCCATCTTGAATTTCTTTTTAATTTTTTAGTGAACGCATTGTTTTGGCTACCTATTCCAATTTGTTCAAGTGTTATAGAGGTGCACAAAGTAGGTATAAGAGGGATACAAATCCAATGTAGATGACCATGTATTGAGAAAATGCAAACTATTACTATATGTTATTACTAGTGCGCAGCCTATGTTATGCATATAATTTTTTATGTGAAGAAAGAATGCAGGGGCAGAATTCTGTTCTGAATGGGCTTCATGTATCTTACCTTTTTCTGCCAGAAAAAGTTTCAGCATAAGCGTTATGAATGTTTCAACAGAATACAACTATCTTGAAAAACAAAGGTGTATACCACCTGATTTTCTGCTTGGGGTTGATTGATTAAAAAATATGAATGGAAGTCATATATCTTTCCTGTTGTCTTGGCAGGTATCCTGTGGTTGGAAGCATACGGCAGCAATTTCTGGTAAAACGATCATAATTGTTTTATATAGATGCTAATAGATGTCTTAGTGCTTGTTCATCATTTCTTGAAATCTAATCCTCTTCCACTCAACCAACACTCATTTCTGCTGCAAACAAGCATCTTTTGTTCCATTGTGCAATGTAAATTTGTTTTGGTGTACCGTGACTTAGTTTAGTTTCTTAAGCTTCATAAGCATCTTTTGGAATTGAAAAAAGAGAAATCATATTCAGCTATAGAAGGCAGAACACTGGTGTTGCTACGGTCGTCTTGAAGGATAAAAATGTTACATGACGTGCCTTCTCCCCTGCCTCTGTGCTTAAGTCCTATCCTAATAAGCCGCGGTAGGACTGGTTGAATAAGCAGTAATTCATCTTTGCATAGATGACTTTCCAGTCACTTGTTGCTTTCGGCAAACATCAATCTTGTTTTTTACACAACAAAGTTGATGCAAATTATTTTTTCTCTGGTGTTACTTCCCTGTCAAGGAAAAGAAATGTACTATGATATCATAGCACATTCTCATAGTCTGGAATGAAGAGGTGAAGAGAAATGATTAATGAAAACTTTGGAGTCTTGTTATCTATCTCAATTCTCAAGCATATTCCTCGTGAACACTTCTTCTGAAAGATGATACAAGGGAGAGAAGTGGATGCCTATTGGTAGAAACTGTTAATAAGATGTAAAATGATGAACAATATAACAGTTGATATTCTCTGCCTTCTTTTTTAATCAAACTCTACTAAAACTCACTGAACTAACTTGTCAGCTTTAACATGGCACATGGTTGTGCGGACTTACAAAAGTACAAGTAGTACACATGGAAGATAGAACCTCAGATGCTAGAAAACTCGTAATTTTTTATGAAAAACAAATTGTTGAGTATTGGAAAGAAACAGGTTCAAATGAAGCGAAACATCCCAACTAGCTTGGAATAGAGGTGTTAGCTGTTGCTTCAGACAATGTCTGTACTTACTCTTCATCAAACACGGTTTGAACTTAAACTATCTTCAACCATCTTATTATCTGGTTGATCCAAGACAGATTGAACCCATCTTATTCCTTAACCTTCATCTCTTTCTAATGAAACATCACCACAACTTTTGAAGCTGGCTTTTTAGGTATCTAGAAAACGTCTTTGGACCATTGTTATTCTCGAGATTGTAACCATGAAAACCTAGTTAATTCCTATGTCCGTCAATTTTCCAAATGAAAGTGGGTTGAGAACTGGAAATTCTCATATTATCTTTTTTCAATGTCGGTATTATTAACCAAAGAGACAACCTCAGAAGACACAGCAAGGACTTGGTCCTGAAAGCAAAATGGAGTTTTACTTCATTTCTCTATCATTCTAATCTAAAAGGAAACTTCCTAGGAAAGGAGATTTTGTCCTGATCACGTTTTGCAAACTAAGACTTTTTATGCTACAGTTGCATTAACGAATCCCAATGTCCCATTGATAATGTTAATGCTGATATCCTCAGTTTTTTGTTGTTGCCATATTCCTCTATCCTGATTGTTGCGTGCTTGTGGGATGGGAAAGTCTCATGCTTCTGTGTAGTTGTAGAAGTACCATTTTACTGTTTTACTTCTCTAGTTTTCAGTATCAGTAATTCATTCGTTGTCCACAACTGCTTGGTTTTATTTGTTCTGACATTCGAATGATAATATATTCCCATCAAATGAGTGAGTTATTTGGTTTACTTACTATTACCATAACCTCAACATTTGACCTTCAGGAGGAAATGTTTACACTTGGGGATGGGGAGGCTCCCATGGGACATTTTCTGTAGAAGGACATTCTTCTGGCGGACAATTGGTTTGTTCCTTAGACTTCAAATGAAGCTGTTACATTCTTTATCGACTTTTAGATACTTTCTAATAAATATTAGAACTTCAAAGGTCAATAGACTTATCCTGTTAATAGTAAGTTCAAACCTAGTCAAGATATGAAGAACTTTCAAAGCTACACAGTGAAAAGTCACTTTAGTTCTAAAATTGTTTGCTCAATGTCATTTTCTAAAGAGGTTCGGAAACCTTGCTAAATATATCCTCTTCTTTCTTATCTCGTTGCTCTGTGGAAGAGTTTTCAATTGCTCTCTGACCTTATGGGACAAGCAGATCCCTGTTTGATAAATCAATACCTTGCCCTCTGAGAGTGGAAACTTCTGCTCGCTTTCTGTCTTTGCTCATTTTCCCTCACTTTCACAAGTTTGTTTTTCAAATTTTGGCTGTAGCAATATCTAGTTTAGAGATTTAAGTGATTTATTCCGTTGCATTCCTTCATCGAGATATCATATCTTGCTATACGCTGTAATCCTTGTGTGGGTTGCTTCAAGTTGGCCTAATACAGAGTGGATGTGTGCAGGGTCAAGGAAGTGATGTTGATTACATTGAGCCTACAATAGTCAACTTTCACAGACACATGAAAGCATTGCAAATATCATGCGGGTTTAATCATACAGGTGCTATACTTGAATACAGCTAATCAAAAGTCAGTCTTATTATTTCTCGTTGAGAAAGCGATATATCTGCATTCTTTTATATATGTACACCAACTTCCCGGAGTGGAGAGCTTCTTCCAGCAGGTTTAGCGATATGATTAATGTGATTTCACATCTGCTAAATCTCACGTAAATTCCCAACAATACTTCACAGAAATAAGCAGTCTGTTATTGCAGCTGTACTCCCATACATGATCTGGAATCACTTCCCTTTTCTTTTCTAGAAGTTTTTCTCCTCTTACCCATGAGTCCACGGCGTTTACCTGTAAATACCACCTACTGTAGCTGGTTGGGGTAAGCAAAACTACATATTGTTGTCACATTGTGTAGCTTAGGTTCTGCAGCATTGAAGAGCTAACTATTCATAATATGGAGTCTGGTTATTGTGTCGACAAAGAAATTATCGCAAGTTGCAATAATTTGTAACCTAATGATAACCCTTACACTCGACCTGTTTGTACCGAGTTTATCTCTTGTAAACCATGCTAGCTTGTATCAAATAACATATCTGTTGTACCTCTTCTTGTTACGTGTTGCGCTGTTATTTTCTCTGCCATGTACTATACATTCATGGGATGGTAACATAGGCAATCTTTTATCTGAAGCGTCTTTGCTCTTTTCTCTTTTTTCTTTTTTGTTCCCTGATTATTCAGACTTTTGGATGTCAGCCAGCTGCACCTGAAGTTCATCTTGTCTGTGTTTCTAAGCTGGTGTAGCAAATGCCCTTTTGTTTTCTTTTATTCTACTTTGAAAGAGAGCAAGAAATTGGATCTGATTAATTAATGGTTGATTATGTTTAGCCTATGCAATTCTATCTAGGAACAAAACAGGCTTAAATTCTTAACCTACCTTATCTTATAGAAATATAGGAAGATTCTGCTTAAATTCTGCCCGACAGGGAATGTTTTCTTCCATGGATGGAATCATGAAGGTCCCTGAAATCTATGCACCTCCTTGTAAAACATTAAGATAGGCTTAGTTTGTACGGAATCAATAATTTTGATATAGAGGTTTTATTCAACATTTAATAAAGAAAAAAATTCTCTCTATCAGTTGGGGCAACATTCCTACCAAATTGGGGCGCATATTTTACCCTTTTAAAACTCGTTCGTTCAATAGAAATTAACGCGAGTGCTTTCAACTTTTGCAACCATGGCTACTATATTTAGGCTTCACAGAACTTCACTACAAAATCTCATTCGCCGCCTTCTCCTCCACCCCGTAGCTACTTCTTTTACGGCGGCCACCACTACCCAGCCGTTTAACATTTCCACTGAATCTCAACCTCGCAACTTTTTGATCAACAAAATCTAAGTTGGTTTTTGCTGATTATTTTTTTTCTAATAAGAATACGTTGAGATCAAATGCTATCGAAGATATAAGAAAACCTCCATTGTTGGAGCTCAAGTTTCTCATATCTGAAATTTGATTGATTGAAAAAAGGTCCATTGAAGAGTTGAACCTTTAAGTTTGAACCATATCTAAGATTTAGAGTTTGAAAGCCAAACTTCAATTTGAGATTTGAGATTAATTTCGAAATGGATGTTATTGGATTTGCTTGGAAACATTACTAAATGTTGTTTCAATCGATTGGAGGAGTTCAAAACTTAATTTTTTGTATGTTTTCTTATCTTTTCTCGAATAATCTATGTATAAAGTCGATATACTTGTTAATTTCTTTGGCAAATTATGAACTTGCAACAAAATTACAACGAGGAAGAGAGCTGGGCAACCTCCTTTACTCATTTTCTTTGTGGTTCTTTGATTTTCATAGTACTTCCCAATCCATCCGTCATTGTTATCGCTAATGTTTTAGTAGGAATTTGGAAATTGATTCTAATTGACTAGGGAATTAGTGGTTCTACTTCTAGCAAATAATATTTGTTCACAGCTGGTCAAAACAGTGAGGTTGACGGACACTCGGCTTTCGGCTTTGGTTTTGATTGCACTACAAAATACTACTACACCTATATGTTATTTTGGCTTCGATGCTTCCTTGGCAAAGAAATTATGGCATGTCTCCCAACAAATTCTTCTTTAGAGCAATTTGTCGATTTATTGAAAAATTTGCAGATTAAGCAATATGTAAAAATTCTAAGCTCCTCAGCAATAGGCAATAGAAATGTTGAACGATCAGCTTAGGCCGCAGCAGATGTTGGTTGTGTGATAAATTACTGGTTTTTTTTTTTTGGATCTGGGACATTATCTTTAGGTTACAAATTTAAAAAGAGGAATTTTTAGAAACCACTATTGTTTAGTGGCTATTAACTTTCTATAGCTACATTCAGTTGTTACGGTAGTGTATTCGCTGTATTCGCGCTGCTGTATTCATGAATACAGCAACAAAAAGCGCCAAAAAATCAGGGTAGTCCAGCTGTACGCGCATGTATTCACATGTATTCGTGCCATGTATTCATGAATACAACATCAAAAAGCGCCTAAAATTAGGGCAGTCCAGCTGTACGCGCATGTATTCACATGTATTTGCGCTGCTGTATTCATGAATACAACACTAAAAAAAGCCTAAAATCGGGCAGTCCAGCTGTGCGCGCATGTATTCACATGTATTCGCGCCATGTATTCATGAATACAACAACAAAAAGCGCCTAAAATCAGGGCAGTCCAGGTGTATGCGCATGTATTCACATGTATTCGTGCCATGTATTCATGAATACAACATCAAAAAGCGCCTAAAATCAGGGCAGTCCAGCTGTACGCGCATGTATTCACATGTATTCGCGCTGCTGTATTCATGAATACAACAGTAAAAAAAAGCCTAAAATCGGGCAGTCTAGCTGTACACGCATGTATTCACATGTATTCACGCCATGTATTCATGAATACAACAACAAAAAACGCCTAAAATCAGGGCAGTCCAGGTGTATGCGCATGTATTCACATGTATTCGTGCCATGTATTCATGAATACAACATCAAAAAGCGCCTAAAATCAGGGCAGTCCAGCTGTACGCGCATGTATTCACATGTATTCGCGCTGCTGTATTCATGAATACAACAGTAAAAAAAAGCCTAAAATCGGGCAGTCTAGCTGTACACGCATGTATTCACATGTATTCACGCCATGTATTCATGAATACAACAACAAAAAACGCCTAAAATCAGGGCAGTCCAGGTGTATGCGCATGTATTCACATGTATTCGTGCCATGTATTCATGAATACAACAACAAAAAGCGCCTAAAATCAGGGCAGTCCAGGTGTATGCGCATGTATTCACATGTATTCGTGCCATGTATTCATGAATACAACAACAAAAAGCGCCTAAAATCAGGGCAGTCCAGGTGTATGCGCATGTATTCACATGTATTCGCGCCATGTATTCATGAATACAGTAACAACAACCACCTTAAAAATAGGTATGTCCAGTTGTCTAAAAGAAAGGAAAAACATAAATAGCGTATTTCATGCCTTATTTTATGCCTCAACGATATTATATACCATAAATACTTATTTTGCTATAAAATATATAAGGTAGCTATAGAAAATAATATTTTAAAATAATTTTGATTTATAATAAATAGGGTGTATACTTTTGCTATAAGAGGTAAAATTTCCATTTAAAAAATTATGACTGAGCCACTCAGTTGCAAAATATGTGTATGGATTGTACTTATGTTGTAATTATCTAATTAATATGTATAAAAAGTAATATTGACCTATATATATACTCCATTTGTTTCAATTTAAATGACACACTTTTTTTATTAGTCCGTTAAAAAAAGAATGACACATTTCTATATTTGGAAATAATTTAACTTTAAACTATTTATTTTACCCACTTTACCCTTAATGAGAAGCTTTTATAGCCACACAAATATTATGGCCCCACAAAACTTTTGCCCCTCAAGGTTTTACGGCCACATGTTTCAAAAGTTTTTTTTATTAAACTTTGTGTCAAGTCAAACTACATCATATAAATTGAAACAAAGGGAATTGTATTTATGCGGTAGAATGAACGAATTAGATTGATATTTTGTACTTCAATACCACACAAGAGGGGGATGATTTGTGCGGTGTCTAATTTTTTGCGTTTACAAATTATAAAAGGACCTGATTCTTCTACGTGTTCCTTACACTACATATGCAGAATAGTAACTGCAGAAAATAAAGAACTCAAGTATTTTTATGTGAAAAACACATGGCTCAAAAGGTGAAAAAACCATGACCTACTTCCCAATAGAATTTTTTCCAACACTCCACTAAATCACTGAGTCAAAAACAACATTTACAAAACTCTTGTAAATCTAAGGATTACCTCTAACCCTTTGTGGCAACCAACCTCAGACTGTTGCGACAACTTCAAGTTAACTCTAACTTGAAAAATACAACTTAAAGTACCTAGTACAAATGCTTCTAAAAAAAGATGAAAGGTACAACTCAAAAGCCCTACTACAATTGAACTAGAATAAAAGACAGACACTTGGAACTGGTTCTTCTATTTGGTTCATGTAGCTTCAGGTTCGCACACTTGAACACACAAGAATTGCTTGCAAAATGCCTTGCTATTTTGCTCTCAATTCTTGCTTAACTTCTGCGTTTGTGCGTCGCCTGTAAAAGAGAACACAACTGATATATATAGAGTTAGTAGAGTAAGAATTAACTAGAGTTCTAATACTTTACTCTTCCTTGGTGGAAAAATTCTAATTATCTTCAACTTCTAACTCCTCTCTTATCTAGGATAGAGTTCTCTTTGAGTAAGGAGTCCTCCTCCTTATCAGTTATGCAACCTTTTCGTTCAGGAGATATCAGATGTAACCACTTGTGCTTATCCCTTTCACGTGCATGTCTTGTGCTTTAATCTTCCCGTGCCCTGCGCATACTGTGTATGGACCTGGTTCATGCGTGTGTTCCTTTGTCAATCATCAAAACAAACTTACCCCATGCCAACAAATTCACCCTTTTTGATGATGACAAACTCGGTGCTTTTCATAAGCATGAATCCTGTTTCAACTTAGCTCAACACCAATACAATGTTAGAACACTTTCCATTTACAGTCACAAATCGTCAATGACCAGGTTCATTAGGTTATAAATATCACAGTCCAAAGCAAAGGACAACCTATCAAAGTACAACCTATCTTCCCCCTTTTGGCATCATCGAAAAGTTGCATAATTAAGTGATATAACAAGATTTTAGCAAATCTTACTAATGGCCACTGAGGCTACTTTAAATGCAATCATGGATTCAAGTATCACCTATCAATCTAAGGATATTAGCCATCTAAAAAATATCAACAAATAATTAGAGCAAAAGCAGTGATTATCATTGATAAGAGTCATCCACAAAGCATAGAAGGAAATAAAAGTACTGCACCATGAGCAAAAAAAAAAAACATCCCATTCGGGTCACTGTTTTCTAACTAGGCTAGGAAGGGTTTAATACTGGGAAGGACCAAGTTCTTGATTTCTAGCATTAAGTACCTTCAACATGTCATGAAGAATGCCTTCATTCTTCTCTTTATCCTTTGCAAGCTCAGACATGAGAGCACCCCTCTCAGTTTCTATTTCAGCCAGCTTCTTCTTCAGCCTC